AAATAAACTAATAACTAAAACTTGTACTAGTATCCCTACTTCGCGGTTTTTCACTTATCGCGGGGCTTCAGGGTAAGGATCCCCCACGATAAGCGAGGGACTGCTGTATAGAATAATTTTGTGCTACTTTAGTTGTCTGGCAAGAGCTGAGGTAGCAGCAAACTAAACATATCCTTATTATCTAGCACAGTGGTTTCCAACTCAGGTCGTAGAGGAACCCCATCCTGCATGTTTTAGTTGTTTACTTGCTGCAACACACCTGATTCAGTGATTTAATTAATTCCTCATGTTCTGCAGAAGCCTGTTCATCATCCATTCATTTAAATCAGATGTGTCAAAGCAGGAAAACAAGTAAAACATGCAGCATGGTGTTCCTCAAGGACCAGGATTGGGAACCATTGATTAGCAAGCTAACTGGCATCTTTCTTCATTTGTTAAGCTGGAGCTGCAGAAGTGTTTAAACCTTTTACCTTAATAAAAACAAAATTGGTGATAATATTTGGCTGCTATCTTTCTTTTTTCTTGTTGTACCTTGTTGAGCTCATCTTCAATGCTGCAGGATTCCAGGCCCAGCTTCTCGTAGTTGTCTTCCTTCACTCCTCTGAGGATCTCAGTAATGTGATGGTAGTCATCAGCGCTGAGCTGACTAACCTGAGTCAGGTTTATGTGCTGTGGAATGAGGCTGGGTTCGATGCCATTCCCCAACAACGCCACTATCTTGTTAGCATTTCTAGAATAACCAAAAGAAAACAGAGCTTTTGTTAACAGGTATAAGACACAAGTTTGAATCAGATTTTTGCTCAAATGTAACTTATTTTCTTTGCGAGAACCTGAACAATTATATTACGTCTTAAAAATGTCACATCGCTACACGCTTTTTAGTTCACACCTAAAGACAAACGTTTAAAAACATTCCCAGGACAGTCTCGAAGTAGCCAACCGTGAACCGAGGTTTGTACTCACAGAGCAACGCATTTGCTGTTCATGATGTTGGCCTTAAAGCCCAGCACAGCAAACACCACCAGGGTGGCCAGCACGGAGGTGAAGAAATTGATAAACGACACCAAGACGGCATCGAAGTGGCAGTTGTTGTTGCGCTTGTTGTAACTGGAAAAGGCTATGACACCCCCGAAGCCCAGACCCAGTGCAAAGAAGACTTGTGTGGCTGCCTCTCGCCACACTTTGGCCTCCAACATGATCTCCAACTGAGGGCAGAACAGACGCCTTTGATTAGTTTCCATTCAGATTTAGAGTTCAGTGAGTGATGACAAGCAGACTAACAAGAAGGGAAAACAACAGAGAGTCAGTGGTAAGTCTTTCTAGTTCAGAAGTCTGGGAGTGAGCTTAAAAACTTTTGAGCTCTGTGTTTTTCTTGATATTTATGCCACACAGTGTTTGCTCATTATTTTTTAAATCACAGTTGATTTTTCTCAGAATCTAATTGATGTGCAGTAGTCCCTCGCTACTTTAAGGTTCGACTTTGGCGGACTCACTCTTTCGCGGTTTTTCAACCATTGTCAGCTTTAATATTACACACGTGATTGGGACGGTATGGAATAAAAAGTCAACGGAAAAAAAACAGTTTGGACAGGAGACGCCATTTTGTAGTTTTCTTTCAGTAAGCCTATCAGTGTTTCCCCTAGATAAGTTGCCATAACGGGGCGTTCATCTCGTCCGTGATTTATGTCGGGGGTGGATACAGAGAGAGCTGCGCACTGTTTGTACCAACAGTTTTCGAGCGGGGGGGCTTCAGTGTGAAGGAAGTGGCAGCGTGAGCACTACCTTTAGCTGTTTTAGCTAGCGTGCCTGTATTGCTAGCTTAGCGCTATGTCAATGCTGACAGATGTGGGGGTGCGTGCAGTTCAGTTAGGTAGGCGGAGCGCTCAGTTCTGTTGAGGGGGTGGGGCGCCCCGCTTGTATAATGGTAGGGGAAACACTGCCTATACTGCAACGCCAGTCAAAAGAACTACACTACCCAGAAGCCAACAGTGCTTCCGGCCGCTGCTTTCTGATGAAATGGAGGGAAAGTTTTGCAACGTAACGCCAGAAGTAACGATCTTTCTATTAAGCTCACAGAACTGGCAGGAATTCACAAATAATCCTGAAGATCAATTATCCACGCACACATGAACCTGGGCGGGGTGGTGGGCTTCGTCGCTGCCTGGTTGGTCTGCCGAACTGGAACCGAGCCCGACCAGAACCGAGCTGCTGGTCTGCAGAGCTGGTGAGTAAAATTTTGCAGTACTGTACAGTACATATATGTATGTTGTTAAAATGACGTAGGTTTAAGAGTTCAGAACATTGCAAGAGTGTG